GTAAAGGTTAGAAAGCACAGAACATCAATAAATAGTACTACCTAGTCCGAGACTGATGTCCGTTCATGCAACTATCGGAACATGCTGACCATTCTGTCCATGCGCTCCACAATCCATCTACCGCTGGTCCGGAGCAACTAATGTTTGACTTGCATGGTCGCTGATCAAATGAGTATCCTGCACAGTAGGACCCTCTGAAACCAACGAAGAAATGGTAACGCTTAGAGAGATTTTAAATAACTTTATGTTTTAAGTATATTCACCTGTTAGACGGGACAGGATCGGAACACATACGATTTCTGATTTGATGACCAGGTTTACCACATTTTCTTGAACAAAGACTCCAGCTTCCCCATTCCGACCACTCACCATTTTGAGAAACTGAAAAGAAATATTGAGTGTTGACTCTCCTAAAGATTATCGTTAACTGTAGCCAAAGCGAAACCCATTTATACATTTGAGGTTAATTTTTCTGGAGTAATTAACCTAATAAAAGGTTTTTTCTTGGGACTTTGAAACAGACAATGTTGTGCTTCCCTTGCGATCAGTTTTAGATATAACACTGCATATCTTAACATTTCATGAAACGACCAACCAATAAATGAGACAGATACTTACTACATGATGTAGGTTCACACGGTTTCTGTTCAATAATGGCTCCCGTGCAAAAGCCTTGAATTGACGGGTCACGGATTTCGCAATACCGACGCCGGAATTTATTCATAGTGAAACAGCTGCACTTTGACCATTTGCTCCATTCGCTCCACTGAGGCACTCAAATGCAATTCAGTTAACAATCGAAACTATATTCGGGACTTGAACAAACAGTAACCCAAACAAAAATAACAAGAAAGCTGTATTCGATCAATACAATAATTCAAGTTATATAAGAAGGAAGCCCTTACAGTCCAACTGGGAGTTGACATCTTGCAGTGAAATAGCGTTGCTGGGACATGGCCCTTTCGTACAGCTGTCTTCTTCAAGGGATGGGCCGTCACAGAGGAACACAAACATAGCGTTACATTTCCTGTGTCGGCTTCTGCGACCTTCCCCACATGTTACTGAACATCCTGACCATTCACTCCACTGATTCCATATGGCTTAAAAGTGCTTGCTTATAAGTTACAGGCTATGATGTAGAACCAATTCTGCAGGCGCCAAAAAAATCTCAAGTTTGTATTTATTACTGGTACGGCTAACGTTTTATTGATAAAGAAGAATTGTTTTAAAAAGCTTTAAAACCTTTGTCACAGGGCTGTTCATTACATGCCCCAGCATCGATAACATTACCATGACCAAAGCAATTATATCCTTCCGCACAAGTCCGCATCCTAAAGAAACCGGCTTATACTTGCATTTATCATCAAGATGAATAGTATATAGAGATTAAAGTTAACTGCAGTAGAAACTCAGTCTTATGAAACCCTACTTTACTAAACGACTGAATTTTAAACAGATTTGGTGAAACCAAAGTAGTGAAAACGCAAACACTGATACCGCAATGGAATTTGAAATTCCCTTGCTGTTGCAGTTCTAACCGGTCAAGAACACAATACAGTTAAGTAATTTCTTAGAAACCGTAGCGTTGCAGAACTGCAGTAACTTTGTGACGAGTCACAAATATATCGCATAACACGTTAAGAAACAATGTCGGAGAGGCTTGTCGACAACCCCGAAAATTATTCAGATTTTATTCGTTACAGGCGAGTCCATTGTGCGTCTGTAGCACACACTGTTTTCGTTGATCTTCTCCGCTCCGTCCTTCTTCAGCGCATCTCTTAGTAAAGTGTGGATAGTTCCCCTCTGTACAACGGGCTCCACCCAAGTTAAATGACACTGAATGTTGTCATGTTCCCTACACTTTTCTTGCTCTTTGGTACTCCACTTAGTAAAATGTCGTGGCAGAATGATCACAGAAAAACCATTATGGCGAGAACGATAATGCATCATGTATTGCATGAAAACAAGTTTCTACCGCAGAATATGTGTAGTTTCAAGCATGAGTTATAACCTGAATCTAATGCCGGATCCACACGTAGCTGAACATGACTGCCAAGGCTCCCATTCATTCCACAACGCTTTATCGACGTGGAAAGTTTTTCCTATTAAGCTTTGTCCTGTTTTCTTACCAGAAGTTTTCTGAGTTTTTATTCCGTGAATAACTGCTTTACAGCTATTCTCACATGATTCAGCTTCTTCAGAATCACCTATAAAAAGATTCACCAATTAGCAGTGAAAACAACTCATGATGAAGTAAATCACGAACACCTGCAAAAAGTAGCTTTTACTGCCCTTTCTTAAGTAAAAAATATACAAAATTTCAAGAAAATATCAAGTTACCGGGACATTCTTTTTCCGTTTCGTTAACGCGCACTAGCCCTGCCTTGCATTCTCTAGTCCTCTTCCTTTTTTCATCGGTAGAACATGATGAACATTCTGACCAATCGCTCCATCCTGACCACTGCGGGCAAGGGCGTAGAACGCAGCGTCTTTGTTGAGTCACATCATCAGTTTTTGGGCAGTTTCCTAAGACATGATTTACAACGGAATAAAAACTATAGAAATAAGTGCTTTACTTTAAAGAATGCTGTGCAATATTAAATTCAAATACTGATATATTTACCAGTTAGACATTTCCTCACACGCATCTGTACTCCTTCACCACAAGTTTCAGAACAAGGCAACCAGTCGGACCAAGTATCCCATATAAACTTATCCCCTACGTGTTCTTCGTTTGCAGGGCATGCCTAAGTCAAACATCGATTTTTCGTTTTTGTTAAAGAAAACTTCAAAAGTGCTAAATAAAAAAACAGGAGTGCTTACAATATATTTCCTACAAGCAGCATCCTAAAGGTAACGAAGTTATATAGAAATTTTGAAAATTGCAATGAAAGTGATGGCAGTAAACCTTTGTACCTCAACATTACAAGTTCTAGCCTGTCTCTCTCGTTCTGGACAAAGCACGCCCTCACAAAGTTTCTCCCGAATCTGAAAACCGCTTCCGCAAGATGCAGAGCACGGTAACCAGTCACCCCAGGAAGACACCACACATTTCTAAAATAAAAAGAAATTTCTCATTTGTCACAGCAAAAATGATACAGCATGTAACAGGAACAAGCCGGTTACCTCAGTAGCGCATTTCTCTTCCTCCGTACTTTCCCCTTCACACCCGTCTGGTACGGTGCAATTCCTATTTCGAGTTCTCAGCCCTCCGCCGCAAGTGACACTGCATTCGCTCCAAGGCTCCCAGCTTAACCATTCAGGACAAGGGTCCTACAACAAAGCGAAATTGCAATACCAGATTAACACCCAAATTTTCTTTTTCAGCTGAAATGATAAAAATACCAAAGCGCATTTCTCTTCTTCTGTAAGCTTATCGGAACATGGTTCATCACTGAGACAAGTTCGCTTTCTTTCTCGAACTCCATTTCCGCAAGTAACGCTGCAGCTACTCCATTCACTCCAATCGCTGTAGCTTTCACAGGGCGGAGGGGATGGCTGACAACTTCTAAGATCCTCCTTGATTCCTTCGCAGTCATCCTGAAATAAGACGAATTAACATCGAATTATAGAAAACAATAAGAAGATCACTAAAAAAATAGGAGCTTTTTGACAGTTGCTCACTCAACAGCATCGCTACTGGTTTAAAACTTTTGTTTCGCATCCGCTAGACATTAGCCATGTTGAGTTACCTCAGCTTCAACTTTGCAAGTTCTTTCGCGTTTCTGAATCCCAAAGAAGCCACAAGAAACAGAGCAAGATGACCATTCACTCCAGCTGGTCCAAGGTGACCACTCGTCTGAATGATTATCTAACGCAGGACAGTCAGCATCATCACTAACAACTGCCTCATTGTTGCAAGCCAGCTTCTTTAATAAAACAGTGAAAAAATAGCTTTTCAATTTCCAAATAAAAATTTGTTCTCAAAATTGATTTGAAAGTTAAAAAGCGCTGGTGTAATGAGAAGAGAAAGTGGATAGTTTTTTTTTT